GGGGATTTGTGCCTCGAAGGTCTCGCAGCATTTCTATTTTTGGATCTTTTTTCACTGGAGTCTTGAGTAAAGATTGTGCCTGCTGTAGGTGGATCTGTTTCAGTCTTTGGTGTACACATAAAAAGACACACATGGGAATGAAATTGCTTTCCCTGGTAACATCAGCTTTCCCTCTGAGGCTGTCAGAGATCAACAGCTTCATGTGTGCTTCACATTTCTCATGAAAGTGTCATCAGGAACCTATTACACATCGACTCATTTGGCATAAAGGGCTCCAATGAAAACTTACAGCATGGCCTCTGCAATCTGCTATCTTCAGAAATCACACCTCTAACATGATAGAGGCAGTTAAGAGTTTGAAGCTTTTTTCAAGGTGATAATCTGCATTTCTGCTTTCAGAATCAGAAGAAGAATATACAACGTGTGAACATATCTGAGTTTGATTGTGTTAGATTAAACCAAACCAAACTCCTCTGGATCCACAGCTGTAAAATAAATGAAAGAAATACATAAATATAGGTTGAAACCACCCATGAAATGAAAAGAATCATCTGGAAGCAGAGGGTCCACATCACTTCACTAATGAGTCCTCTTACAGTAATGGGACATTAAAGACAGTAAAGTAATGTATGACTTTTATGGACCTCTGTTGGTGACATTTAGGTACTGCAACAACATTTCCATTTAAATATATTCTTATATGCCAGTTTATAAGGCATACCTGTGCAAATTAATTTACCCCTAATTCTATGTGTTAGTTTTTTAAGCTGGCATTTTGTATTTGACTGCAATGTACTGTTTTTATGACTTGTTCAGTATAATGGAGTCCAGTACAACATCATATCTCACTACAGGCTCAAATATTACTGTTAAATCAACACCTCTTCTATGACACAGTGTCACCATAAACATTACAAGCATCACAAAGGTTGGATTTATTGTACAACTCTTGGATTGCATTTATCATGTTGAAAATGCAGGAGTAAGTGTTGCATGCTTGCTATATACTTTGTGATTTTCTCCCATTCAGACACAATTACGCATTACTAAGGTCCAACACGGACATTGGGTGATAAGGTCTGGCTCACAGTCTGTGTTGCAGTTCATCCCAAAGGTGTTGGATGTGGTTAAGGTCACGGCTCTGTTGGTATTTGCAGTGTTCAACTATCCTGTGTTTCTATCTATTTCTCTCTTGTAACTCTGGGAATTGGAGGTCTATTAACTGATGCATGTTTTGGGAAGCATCAGTATGGATGGCCTTCAATATGACTGACACACATGCAGACTATCTCTGTTTCTCTGTCTGCGACTGCTCCTATGTGACTCCTGTACATCTCATGAACAGAAAAGACAGCGGGAGACAAACCTTGATGCTTCCAATAACACAACATAAGAAAGAAAGTTTCGAGATGGACATCACTGCAGAGGACGCAGTCAAGTTAGTGGTCTTGATCGGTGAACCCATCAATCCTGCGCGTCTCTCTGAAGAGTTATATTGTTGCCATTTTGAGCTATTGAGAATTTTTGTGAGCTGGATAAATAAAATGTGTGGCTGAACACATACAGTGAGAGGAAAGTAAGTCCTACTGTGAATGTTTGGAAGAAGCTGTTAAGATTTTGCTGTGATGTGTAGTGCATCATTAAGACCTTTGAAAGCAAGCAGATCAGTGTGTGGGAGAAAAATAACATTTGGTGTAATTTTTGCTGTTTTGCCCTAAGGAGAGGCTTACAGTGCAGCTACTGTAGATCTGCTCTGCCACCAGATGCAAGTTCAGGATCAGCAGTGTTTATCTGTCTTTTAAATAAAGCACCTATCTGCAGCGCAGGTCACGTTCAAGCCAGACTGTGTCCTCACATTCCAAAACATTGAATGATGGAATCTGCTGGACCTTGAGTAATACCGCAGAGTTTTTTGTCCTGCTCCTCCGGCAGCGCAGCACCCAGAAAAGTAGATATGGCGAAAAACAATCCTCTGAGGACAGTTTAGCATGTGATTATATGCTGTTGGAATATATTTTTTCACTTCCTCTACCCTGTGTGGAGAACACTGACATATTGTGCATTGAGGCGGATAAACTCAGTGAGAAATCACTGGCCCAAAGAAAATGAGACCCACTGTGATGCTGCCTGTCGCTTCAGTCCAAATGCTCCCGGCTACTAATGAGGTCTTCTCATATTCAGTGTCACAGAGCTGGACAAGATGTTGATTTGTTCACTGATTCGATTGGAACTTACAGTACAATCAATCTGTTAGTGGCAAAACAAAAGTGCTAAAGACAGGGTGATGGGCGACCACACACATCACACTGAGCTTTTTGAAGGTCAGCAGCTGTCAAAGGCATGTTGTCCTAGTTTCCAGTTGTCATGTGATACAAGCATGACATCTGAAATCGCACATGTACAATATTATATTAAAAGAAAGTAACGCTTACATTGTCCAATTGTAAAAATGTGTAGCCGTTACACACTAAATAAAAAAAACTTTTAACGTTTAAACATTCCATCACCTCAAAAGGGTATTGTACATTACCTGCCACCTTTTCCTCTATATTTTGCCACAACTCAATAGTGGTGGCTACTAGTCTAATAGTCTTGAGTCTCCATAACTAGGCCAGATATAGATTCCAAATCTATAAAAAGAAATGTCTTGGAGGAAAATAAAGAATTTAATAGTGTGTGGGCAGATATGTTTGCTTTCACCAACGATGCTAGCTTACCTCTATGCTTAATCTGCCTTGGGAAATTAGCATTATAAGGCTCAAACATGAGAGAGCTGGAGGCTGACAGCTAGACAGACATTTTAAAAACTAAAAATGTTTCACTTCCATATAATTTTTTGTAGGGATGCTCGATATTGGCTTTTCTGCCGATATCCGATATTCCGATATTGTCCAACTCTCAATTTCCGATACCGCTATATGCAATCTTTTTTTTTACACCAAAACTGTTTTTAGGTAACAACATAACATATCTCCTATTGTGGAATTAACCCATTATGCCTGATTTTATTGTGATGCCCCACTGGATGCATACATAAATGCAACATGGCTTTCCAAACGTAAACACTGTCTGTGCAAAATAAGAGAACAACTTCAACTTTCATTGTATTAATACTGAAAAGAGCGCTAACGCTAATCGTTAGCTAAGCACTAGCTTTGGTTAATGTATTTAATTGTATTATTCACCTGAAGGAGTGCTAATGTAAATTCTAACCAATTGTTAGTTTGGTTAAGGAACAGCTCATAGCAGGGTAAAATATTTAAGGTGCATGCGCTTATTTTGTGTTAATATTAAAATCATTCAGCTTTAAATTGTTTGCTTGTTAGCCACGGTTAGCAACCAACCAGTCTAGCGTATAGTTGTTGTTGTTATACGTCATCTAGCGCATGCCGCTAAACGTCCCATGCTGCGTTCTTGCAGGCTCGGAAATGCTGAAGCCTACAGAACAAACATAGGTTATAAAAACCTGATACCGATAATTCCCGATGTTACATTTTTTAAGTGAATATCGGCCGATATTATCGGACATCCCTAATTTTTTGTCAAAGCCAAAGACAGCCACTGGAGACCATTAAGAGCCTTATAAACCAATTAAAAGATCTTAAAATCAAGAGTAAGAATATAATATAACATAATAAAGCATACCATTATTGCTGTTTTTTTAATTAATTTCTCTGTTATTATAATACGTTTGGATTTTTTCTGGCATAACATACCAAGATTAAGTGTCTCAAAGATTGTGTAAAGAAGAAAGAAAGAAAATGAAGAGACAGGCTCATGTACATCTTCAGGTAGATAAGTGGACATGGATATAGAATAATTTAACAGCAAATCCATCAGTGTATTTAAAATGTCCCAGATACCAGCAGATACAGTGAGCAAGGCTGATCCCTAAAGGGGAAATTTGATCCCTCTGGCTGATTAAAAACACACAGCAGGTCCGTGGAAGATAAGAAAATTTTAACCATCCCCATAAACACATCTTCCCTTGTTGTACCCAATAAAGTCAAGTCAATTGTATTTATATATTTATATAGTCACAAAAACAATTTGCCTGTGGGTAAAAGAGCATACAACACCCTTTATTTTGAGACCCCCGATTTGAATTAGGAAAAACTCCCCTCCAAAAACCTCTTTGACAGGGAAAAATGAGAAGAAACCTCATGAAGAGCAACAGAGGAGGACAGACAGACACGCAGTAGTTGTCGTGTGAACAGAACAGACCAATAGTCAAACAACAGTATGGACAATCACAATGGCAAAATGATATATTATGGATTGTAAACATTTGTCACAAACACCCAGACATGCACACACAAACCTATCCTCCTGCGAGTGCATAAATCATAGATCAGGGGTGCCTAAACTTTTTCTCTTAGAAGGCCAAAACTCAAACTTAATCGTGAACCATAGGCCAAAAGCAAACTATTTTATTGTGAAGTATCCCCAGATCCTCTGATTTGTGTCACTCTGCTCAGATTATGAATGAATGATTTTGGATCTTATATATTTTACCTCACAAAAAATAAAAACAGCATGAACAGTTATTTATGTTATAATGGGGTTTTTGGGGGGCTAGAAACATCTGGTTGGCCAAAAGCAAACCAGGCCAGCTTTGGCCGCCAGACCCCACTTTGGGCAGCCCTGATTTAGATGGTGATTTAGACTTCTTTTAAAATGTTTCTGGTATGGCAACCAGGTCCTGAGAGGAACACGAACATGATGGTAGGACACTCCCCCTCACTGTATTCACTGGCTCTCTCATAAAGCCACAAAATAGTGGTTGCACAGGTTTTTGATTATAGTCATTCATGGAGTGATTTGTGAAGAGCAGTTTGTTTCTCTCGCTCTCTCCCTCCAATGAGTGGAAAGTAGAAGCCCAGAATTAACAAGATAGAGGATGTGATGTGTCAATGACGCAGATGCTGTACAAAAAAATGCTATTTATGTCAGCTATTGATAGTCCCTTGATTGACAATGTCTTTCTCCTTCTTTCTCAGGTCAATGAGATTTACCATGACGAGTCACTGGGAGTCCATGTCAATGTGGTCCTGGTGAGGATGATCATGCTGGGATATGCAAAGGTGAGTTTCACAGTAGTTTTTCTGTTGACTTGCCTGTTGTTTGGGAAATGCAGAATGACAGAAAAAAATAGATAAGATAGAAACTCAGTCAAGAAAGAATTTGCCCCCCAGAGTGCAAGATGATGGGTGTGTGGGAGAAGATTGTACTGTAACGGAGAGACACAAATGTGCTTCACATCACAGTTTGATCACATCGCAAAGAAACTGGAGTCTCTGTGCCAAAATAGTCTTTAATAACAAGGCTGCAGCTTGAGATTATTTTCGTGACTAATCATTTTAGCACCAACTAGGAGTATCACTTTAAGAACTTTTAGTTTATGTGTTGGAAATTGATTCACTGAAACTATACATTTTGTGAGGTTATCCTCAACAGTTGCTGTCATTTCATATAGTTTGACATTAAATGTTTTTTCTGCTTTGCATTCTTAAGCCTAGACAACAGCTACATTAACCGGACTCTATCAATACAAATCACCCTAAACAATGGCCCAGAAGCAGTGGCAAAGTGATGGCATGAATAAAACAGAACATTTATGTGTAACATGTTGGAGATGGTGCCGCAGTGGGATGGCACAAATGCTCCCATCCCCCCTCCTCACACTGAAACTCTGTTGTGTTTGCTATGGGGAAACAAAGGCTTTGACCTGGAGGTGAAGCATCAACCCATGATCATTGGCTAAAACATAATACAAAGAAAAAAAAAGAGTTACAAACATTTCTGCCTCAGTGGGATAAAAGTCCAAAATGTCATGTTCAAATGAGTACAGGACCCAAACAGAACAAACTCTTCTACTATTTTCAAAAGACAAACTAATTTTTAATCTATTTTGAATGCTCTCACACTCTAATAGTCTTATGCCTGCCATTAATTTTACCGCTGTCCTTCATGTGCACAATCACAATAATATCAGTTACAAACACACAGCATTCAGTCCAAACATTTCATGATTCTGTTAGCACTAATGCTTTTCATCATTTTCATCCTGTTATTTCACTGAGAAATATGTGTATAATTGCTTGAGAAAAGTGGTTATTTCAACCTCATGGAGCATGTTAGTGACACATCCATAGCCATTAATAATGTAGCAGAGATGCTAAATAGGGAAGAAAATGTATGCAGATTGCAGGGGTCAGCCACTCTCGCTTTCCGTCACACATACTGTAAAAATACATGCATGCATGCTCACACAAAGTGGAAATAGCAAAGTAATCAGGGATGAACGTTTGCCTGGTCTTTATTTTTTTTATAGATTGTAGAGAATTCAGTTTGCTATCCACACCATGTGTCAGATTAACAATGAATGCAATTTTGGGCTGCTGACAGAATACTAACATGTTCATTTCAGTCAAGGTTCAGTTGTAATCATTTTTTCTCTCTCTTGCTTTTTTGTTAGTCCATCAGCCTCATTGAAAGAGGAAACCCATCACGGAGCCTGGAGAACGTGTGCCGCTGGGCATTTGTGCAACAGAAAGGTGACCCTGATCACGCTGAACACCACGACCATGCAATTTTCCTCACTCGCCAAGGCTTTGGCCCCACGGGGATGCAGGGTAAGACCCAGGAGAACACAACGTTTCAAATGAGAATGTGACGTTGCCTGCAGAATTTTGACCTGCCTCAAGTGATTGATCCAAATACAGCACCAGGAGATTATCCATCATAATGCACAGCAGTAAAAGATCCTGTGGTCCAAGACTTGCAGCTATTAATCAAGACTGATTCTTTGGTTTGGTCTGGACATTAATGCTCTTGCTGGGCTCAGACTGCCCTCAATTAATCCCAACATATTACACATCTTGTCTTAATGCTAAAACTATTATGTGAATTTCACATTGCATGTTTAACAAGCTGTGTTTAAGAAAGTTTCAAAGAAAGACATGGCTTTCATTTGTGAACTGTGCCCAGATTCTCTATAATTGCATTTTAAATGCAGCTATAACAATTCTTGTGCCCAGGTTGCTCGAGTTAGAAGCTCAAGGCTTTTGTCTGACTCAGAAAAACAACAAGCCTTGAAAAAAAAGCACTGAACAATCAAAACAAGCCCTTTATCACCAATATCAAGTGTAAGTAGCACAGCCAATCATGCAAGCACCCCACAGCCCTTTTGTGCTTCATATCTCGCACCTTTTCTTAATTTCTGTTCTCATGAATGCAGACCTGGAAAGGCTGGAGGCTCATGGCAATTTACACTGTCTGCCTGATAGTGACTGCTCGCCCCACCTCTTATTTTCTCCACATCTGCCAAACTGAAAGAATAAGAGCGACTGAGTATCCAAAGTCGGCCCTATAAAGGCCCATTCAACTGGCTTTATGCCTTTTTTATTTGCCTCTTTGAACAGAGGCTGCATATATCTTTCATCTGGAAGTGCACATTAGGTGCTTTGGCTAATCCATTATTCCTTCCTTTATGTGGAGACAAAAGGGAATAAGGTGCAGTATATAGACATGTACCGGACATTACCTGAAAAGACCAAAACACTTGCAGACTTCACATTTTGTCAGTTATTGGGGTGCGTTTATATAATTCATTCACAGGAGTTGGACTGCTGTGTTTAACCAGGTAACAGCTTTGCCAGTAATCATAGGAATGAAATATCTGTTTCTTAGGTCTGTAGTGCTCTTTGTTCAGGATGACAACATATTTTGAGCCATTTACAGGAAAACAACCCTAGAAAACTTGGCTAAAACACAAAATATCATTGGCAGAAGACAGAGTTGTATCTGAAACAAGCAACTAGAGGTAAATTACTGCAGACAGTGTTGATGAGTTTGCTGTGATTAGCTTACATGAATTGGAAATACAATTTGTTTTGACCAATTAAACAAAAGCAGCTAGTTTTGTTGCGGGAAAGCAGTGCAATCTGGTGATAATGGAGTCTCCTGTTTATTGGTTACTGTTGTGTAGGGTGTGGGTGTGTAATCGATATTCCACTGAGAGACAAATCTTTTCTGCTTCATCCAAAGTCAAATTCAGCAGTATCATGGTGGCATTAGAAGAGAGGTCAGAGGATCACCAAAGTCAGTTTGATTCATCCTTTGGGGACCATGAATGTCAGCCCAGAATTTCATTGTAATCCATCTTATATCTGTCAAGACATTTCAGTCTGGGCGAAAACCACTGACTGACTGAGACCACTGCAGTCAAAATAGCGGCCACTAGAGTCCCTTGTTAGATAACAGGTTATTAAAACCTAGTCCAATAAACAACCTACCTGACACTTAATTTACACAGTGGGGGTGAATTGAAAAAATATAAGAAATGCAGCAAATAAAATTATTCCATTGTGTTTCGGACCAAAGAAAATCAGCTGCACATTCATGTGGTTAGATGGTTTCTGCTTGTTCAGGCATAAAATGTGATGCAGCTGAGGCTAAAATGACCAGTGACCTGTTATACAGCATCACACTCTATCAGAAATGTGAAACACTGTAGCACTTTCATCCACGACTAAAGTGGACCTGGTAGGTGAATCTCATGTTTATTTTGAAAACTGATTGTCCTCCAGTGCCACTAATGTATAGCAGACTTTCAGACATGGTTGTCATGGGAATAAAAGTCAAGGTACATGGACAGACCAGAGACTCCTGTCCATCTGGCAACATAGGTAGCATGAACCAATCTCTGTATGATCATGCAGGCTCAGACTCAGAGGGTATTTTCTGGTGTGTTGATTTTGTCACTGAACAGGTACTACTGGCGAAAATATTTGTTAGCCTGTGGCTATACCAGCTAATAACAGGCCAAAACATAAGTGTCAGTTGCTGACACCTAAGAAAGGATGCAACATGAGCTGAACCCTGGTGAGTTTTGACTCGTCTTCTGCAGTGTCGCCTTCCTGGACTGGGTGGTGGGAGTCTGGCCTGGCTTCCTTTTGCATTGCCAAAATACACTGAAAGCTCAGTGCTGGTTTCAGTTCATTATAGTAAGCACAGACAGAAATTATACCAAAATACATCAGGGATGATGGTAATTATTCAGGCACGTCAACTTTGTTGTGTTGGCTTCCTTCCTTCTCTCTCTTCTGACTCTCATATTAGGTAAGACCCCCCTTCTTGACAATCGGCAAACAATCACAAAGTGACCATGACATTCTGCAGAGCAGGAACTGCCACTCACAGATCAGTTTTTTATGATGTTGTGATTTGATCTGCAGGGTTACCTGTGTTTGAAAACTTTACACTAACACACACAGACAGATTATGCCATGTAGAAGCATGGAGGCAAGCAGTTTTCATGGACATGACTTTTGATATTTGACCTTGTAGACATGGAGTGGCTTTTTATTAGGGTTTGGTGATGGAGTAAGTTTGTAACACTGATACCATTTATACATCTATACCAATTTAGCTATGCTTTAATATCTGGCTTGTAGGCCGTGCTGGGAATAAGTAAGCAGGACATCTTTATGGCAATATTTGACAGGACTTTTTGATGAAGTACCTTTTTTAGATGGTATTTCACTGGAACAACAAAAATAACATTCATATATGATATTTACAATGATATAAAATGCAATATACTGTTATTAAAAGATTGTTATAGTAGTTGGTTGATAGGTTGTTGAGGTCACCCCCAAGTTGAGGGCTTTGGTTTAATCCCATTAGCAACACACTGAACCGTTTTCAGGGCCACAAGCATACACTGACTGCGTATGTGGTATAATGTGGTGTAATACCTTTTCATCTTCACTTCACTATCACTTCGCCTTGCAAAGGACTGCGTGAAGAAAAGTACTAAATCCGTGTGTTATTTTTTCTACCCCACTAGGCCTGGCACAGACAGAAAAAGGTCAGTGTGTGTTCATATTTTGATGAACAGCAAGCGATGCATCTAGTTCACACTGTGCACAGGGGAATTGAAGCAGCAGTGACAAATCAGCTGGGGTCTTCTGCACCTTAAAAAAGCCAAGAGACACTGTATTTTAGTGGTCTGTCCCCTGTGGGGATGCTTTGTAATTGAACTGAGTTCAAAGCTGTATCAAAACATTTGCTATTCAACCAATGTCTTCTTGCCTGCAGACATTCACAGTACACCTGGGATTTCTGTCGGTGCTTCACTTTTCAACAAAAACAGCAAGCAAGCGTTATTTAGTCAGAAAGATTCACAATGTCATTGTAGTTTTAGCATGGTAATAAAGTCCTGACTTTGCTTGTTGCTTGCTGTAATTTAGAATTAGGTAATGTCGGCTGTGAATTTAAAAGGTTTACCAACTGCAATGCCTTTTGGGGCTTTGCAACAGGGGAAATGTGAAATAAACCTCAAATGAACTAAGATGCTAACCAGCCTGGAATTTAAACAAAGATAGAGATTTTGTGAAAAGCAATATTTAATGCTACCTTTTTAATGGAGGCCCATGGTGTGTAAATTATTAAAGGAATAATCATAATATTATCTGTAAGGAATATGCAGTATAGACAATAAAAAACAAAACCAGAATAACCAAGAAGCAATTGTATACATTTCTAAAACTCAGCTTAGTATTATGAAATGTTATCAGCATTTATGTGATTGGCTGTTGCTTTGGTCCGAGCCAATCACATACCTGTTTGTCTTGATTGACAAAGGTTTTTCTGATGCAACGTGGCATTATAAAATAAAACTATATTGTAAAATAAAAACAGACTTTGGAAATATAATATTCAAAATGTCTTTTCTGGGCTACTGTAGAAACGTGGCGGTGCAACATGGCGGACTCTATAGACCCGCGGTATCTGTAGATAAAAACTACTAATTCTAAGGTAACAAAAACATAGCAATTCTTATTTTATATATATTTTATATACTAAAACATACCTATGAATGTTATATTCCATTTCTGTCATTAGATCCTCCTAAATGTCACACACTGGACCTTTAAATAGAAATATGCAACACTTGAAGAACATAAAAGAGGCACAAGGCTGTTTTTGTGCTAGACCTTTTTATTGTACTGTTTGAGCTTCAACTTAAAAATTAAAAATATGTTCTGTCTTTTATTTCTGTGCAAAAATCAAATCTTTGGAAGCTCCTTCTCATTTTTTTACACAGTATAACATACAGGAGAGGAGATAAGTGCTTCCATACTTCCATCCACCATTGGAAGCTATAGAGAAAATAAATGCTGCTGAATTGAATTGTTGAATTGCTGTGCTTACAGGTCATTTGTATTGCATACTTATGAATTAATACAAAACATTTATAATAATATATACTCTAGCTGCAGTATTTAAGTATCAAGCCGAAATCTTTAGGGAGAAATAAACCAATAGCTTTGGTAATGTTGAGCAGCTTCAATTATCTTTGATGCCATCACGGATATTAAGACATCATTGGCTGCATGCCTTCCTGTAGGACTCCACTAGTCAAAGGCAGAATTATTTCAATGCTGTCTGGGGAAAACATCTTACAATCACTTCTCTGCAGTCTTCCCTTGAGCCATTGTTAGATTTTGATAAGGACAGAGCCACGCTGTAAGCAAGATGTCATTAAGCTTCTCTATTTGAGTGTGACATGTTTTGAAATTGAATCATTTTCACAGGGTGAAATAAACAAAGCAATTGACCAGATTTC